CCCCAAAACCCCAAAACCCCAAAACCCCAAAACCCCAAATTTATCGGAAGTAGTTGAAAAAATAATCAACTAAGCTTCATTTTTCAAATGTTTCATGGCAATTCTGTGGATCACTGGCTTAGTTATCTTTGTAAATTGAGGTAAAGCTCCACAGAGCATATTCATTTGTAAATGGTTCAGCTCTAGTCTTTTCTGCTTTGCAGCACTATAGTTTTAGCAAGTTACTAACCTTCCAGAGGGAGTATTTTGTAACTGAATATTAGGCGCAGTGAAATTCATTGGTGATGCAACTCTCTTGTTTACAATAGGAATGTTCAACTCTCGTAAGTACTCTCTGAACTCATCTCGAATCTCATTATGACCACCAGGGGAGCTCACCTTGGTTGAGTTCGGATCAAAAGAGGCTCTCTATGAAGATGAGTTACAATAAATACTTTCTGCACCTTGCTAAAAGATTTCTGTCTTCGCTTGCTCCTCTTAAAAGCAAGACTCTGCTTTGCAAAACTAGGATGTTGACATCCTTTACTTGGTCTCATTGCTAAATTTCAGAAAGGATTGTTACCATTATGCCATGATTTAGGTGAGTGAACTTGAGTATGGCTAAGCCCTTTCTTTGTCTGATATCTCCTGTTCTTCTTAATATTGACGAGAATATTACTACTAAATTAGATAAGAAACTTTACATTTTATCAATCTTCTCATTATTCAATGGAATCGAAGCTCTCTGTGGCCTTCTTTTCTTATTTTCTGTCTTACAGTCAGATCTTTCAGCTATCGAACTTTTGGAATTACACTTGCTGAGATCTTCGTTCTGAGGCACATTTTCAGGATTGAGCAAGGAAGCATTAGGCCTCTCATTTTCATTCAAATGGTCCTGAGTAATTGACTAAAATGATAACAAGATTATGGAGAATACTCTATGAAATTTTCTTCTGATCTGCATAAGCTGCTTGGTTGTCTTCTTCTTATTCCTAATAATATTGTTACTGTGCTTACTTTTTCTTTAACTTTGGAATGACATCTCTTGGTCTTGGTTTATTTGAGCTTCTTTTTCAGACTTTTCTCAGATATGTCATCACTCTCGATCTTTTCAGGACTTCCTACAAAGTTAGGACTCAATTCTGATACCAAAACTCTTTTGAAATGACCCAATTCTCGCATATTTTGTGCCTGTATCAGGCTCAATCCTCGGTGCTTTTGATTTTGTGTAAAATGGGCTTGCAAAGCTTCGATTAGCTGTAGGACTGGCTAAATCAATATTACTTCTGTCCATTTCAGAGCTCTGGTGTTCTTCCTGCTCATTGTTGATATCTTCAGTCAGATGAGAGTCGTCCCCAATCTTAGCATACCTATCAAGCATGTTATGGTAATAATGATGGTTCCTGATGACTTTATTATTGGTCAAATATTTCTTTTTCTTCTACAAAATAAGTCTAAAGCTACCTTCAACTGAGTTCTGAAGTCTTTCTTCAACTGTTCAGTCATTTCCTTTTCATTTCTTTTATCTCCTCCTACAACTTGTTTCTTTTTCTTAAGGTTTGCCCTTCTAGTAATATTTCTTTGAAGTCTATGGCATACATGCTTCTGCTGGTTCTTCCTCTTACATGTTCTTGGTCTTTGTACAGATTTAATAGGCTTCTTAACTGTCAGGAATATACTCTTCAGACATTTCTCGTCCTTAAGGTGGTAGTGGTCGTCTCTCACGAGGTCGTCAACTAGAGAAGATTATATTAAGAGATCTTACCTTCATATGTTTTCAGTCTTGGATTCTTCCGTAGAGTTAGTTTCATAATTTCAGATAATTCTCTGTGCTCTTTCTCAGAGACTTGGTATAATTCACCCTCAGGGAGATCAAGAAAATCATCTAAGCAATAAATATCCTGCTTTTTTCCCATTTCTTGAGCATTTTTCATAAATTGTCTATTTAAAGCTTGTTTATAAGTGATTGGCTTTTCGATAACTTCCAGGCTACCAACCTGCTTGCGTTCTTCGTGGCTGAGAGTCTCCTCAATCAAGTTCTTCTCACACTTCATTATCATATCCTTAATCTGGTTGAGGGTAGGATCTCCAGGAATTTTATTTGTAAAAGGCCTTAGCTAATTCATCAACAATTATTGGTTCTTTCTTAATATTTTCAAAATCTGCTGCTGATATCAGTTTAAATTTCTCGCTGAGGTAAGTCTTCGCCCCAATCTCATCCTGCTCTTGAATAGCATCGCCTTCCCCTTGGTCAATCATTGAGAAATCTCAGTTCTCATCCATTACCTGCTGAGGTGGTTTAATGATGAACTATAGTTTAGGTGTTTCTAATACATCACGGATTATCTTGGCTATCCCATGAACTTCTTTCTTATTAGCTTTCCTGAAGAATTCCACCTATTTTGTCAGAGAGATAACATACAGGATTCTTGAGACAACACATAAGGAGCTTCTTTTCACTCTCGTCATCATACCTGTATCCATCATAGATCCTTCCAATATAATCCATGAAGTTAAGAAAGCTAGAGATTTAACAGAAAAGCTACTTTTCAGGGGTAATATCTTCTTTGATCCTCTCCTTAATCACTTTAGCTGAGGAACTGACATTCTGGTTTAGTGCTACTCTCCCCTTGGATAAATGTGGCTCTAGACTCCCGCAATACTACTTCTTTCAAAAGGGAGTGAATCTGGTAGCTTATTCGAAAAATCTCTCTTCCGGACTCCTAAAAAGTCAACATCGACTACTCACTTGGCTGGAGAGCTTTGAGATCCTTTAAGTCGTTAGGGTTCATCGCTGACCAGGTTATAGCTCTCTTGAGCTCGTCTCTTCTCTATCTTGTTGATCCTATAATGTGTCAACCTGTGAAAGCTGTATGGCACACCTACGTTTTCATGATAACTCTGTAATAATTATCTCTCTGCTTCTTAAGCCCTTGGCGGAATAGCTTATCAGAGTCATCGATCTTCTTAAATGCTTCTCTGATGCTCTGCTGGATCTTAAACGCTTGCACTAAGGATTCAGTGTCACCTGCCCCACTCATTATTTATTTTACCCTTCAACCTTATAATTTTATGTTGGGGTTTTGGGGTTTTGGGGTTTTGGGGTTTTGGGGTTTTGGGG